AATATCTGCTATTATAATGACATTTTATAGACTCAATTTTAGTCTATAAAATGTCATAAATAATAGCAAATGCCATCACAAGTTGCCAGAATTCAAAGTGACGTACTTAAATCTGCTTGCTTTATCTGACAAGTGGCCAAGAAAAACAAATTATTCATTAAATCACCAAATATTTCTGAAGCATTAAGCAGCAAATGTTTGGTAATTGTTCTTGATAAATGACGATTTATTGATTAGGGATTTAGATTCAGAATTATTGATCCTGCTAAAATGTGTTGTTGTTTCAATTGCTCAGTTCAAGATAATCCAAAAAGTAACTAGCAAATGTTAAGAATACATTTAAGAAAAAAATATAAAACATAAAAAGTATGCTATATATGTGTGCATATATAGAAATGTAGATGAGGTCAAATGTCAACAATGCTGACCTAATACACATATTGTGACTGTAGCGTCAGTGTTGTACCTGAAGGATGTGACCAGCTTTGTGTTGCTGTCTCGAACCTGCTCCAGGCGCTGTTGAACAGAGCGCCTGAACGCTCGCTGTGAACTCTGGATCTCCTGGATATGCTGCCCCAGATGGGCCTGTAGGGTGGAGCTAAACCCCTCCAGACTGGGCAGGAGCAGGGAAGGAGGGGAGTCAGAATATCAGAGACAATTCATCAATATACTATTATATTATAATTCATAATTATTATCAAGTGTAATGAGCTGTCTGGTGTCACACTTTGGATATAAAATACTAGGGGTTTGTGAACAATATTGAATGTCTATTTTTTCCAGATGAAACAATTTCTGCCACTAGTGGCACAAGGCACAATATACAGTGGCCCAATATTTACATATTTAAGTATACGAACAATCATATCTGCTCTGAGTCCCATTATTGGACTATGGAGGCACCAATAGTATACAACAGAAATGGAGCATCATACATAAAGTTCAATATTTAAATATTCTAAAGAAAAATGACTATAAAAGCAACCAAAAATAATACACTTTTATAATTTTTGACATGTATATTTGAGTAACACTTCTTTGAGTTTAGTTTTTTTTAACGTCAAGTTAACTAATGAGTTAGCAGGTGAGCTACTTTTCGTTGATGAACAGATTGAAGAAAAGCGTTGCTGATGAGTTACGTGCGAGAGGTTGTGGCCGTGTGAAAGATCTCCTCCATCTTGGAGACGCGGGTGATGAAGTTGAGGTTGCTGCTACTGGTGGAGGTCTGGAGGTCGCTCATGTCACTTCGACATGAGTCCAGCACTTGGAGCACAGCTGCACACTGGAACGACACACACTCCATGTGGAGATGGAGCTCAGCTTCACACACGCACGCACACACACACACACACACACACACACACACACACACACACATATATACAGTGTACACACACACACAAACATGTCTTATTTAATTTGAGTGTGTGTGTGTGTGCATGTGTGCTACCAGAGCGCATGTTGTGTATGTCCATCTCAATGCGCTGTGGGCGGAGTTTTTGCAGCTGTAGGCGGAGCTCTTGTTCTGAGCCCAATGCTTCCTTTCTGCTCGCGACCATGGCGACGCTGGAACTCAGGACGTCATAGAAATGCTGCTCCAGGTGATCAAAGAATAACACACGCATCCTGGCAAAGGGCACACGTATATGTCATGAGTTTTCAACATGAAACAACTTTACAAATTCTACTCATGTATTCCTTCCTAAATGCAGATTAGGTTTGTTTAATCCATTTTCATGATAGTATCCTATGCATACCGGGAGCCTAAAGCGGGAAGCATACCTCTTACGGAAAAGAAGTTGGACGAGGTTCACAAGAACAAAATGTTGTGAGTGCGGAGAAAAACTAACAAACACATTCCTCGCTAAACTTCTTTCACTGCACTTCTCGTACCTCCAAGATTTTGTAAACTTGCCGAAATGAAATCTCAGCAGATGACGACAATGCAAACTTTGTGTGTGATTGGTCAGAAATTCAAGGTGGAGGTATGCTGCCTGTGGTTCTAATGAGGTCGGTAGTTATCTGTCTGGTCACCATGTGGGTCCACAACTGACAAAAACTGGCCCTGTTTGTATGCCCTTAGGCAACAGTTTATCAGGATTATACAGCTAATAAACTACATTATATATTTATTACAACTACTATATTATTATATTATTAATAATGTTAATATATTATTACCAATATCATTATAAACTATATAGCATACACTCTTGAACTATGTTATGCATATTGTGTGTGTGTGTGTGTGTGTGTGTGTGTATGTGTGTGTGTGTGTGTCTCACTGAGTCAGTATCTGGGTCAACATCTCTGTGGGGAACAGGATGAGTTGGACTTCATCACCCAGGCTGCCCAGCGGATCCAGCACAGGAACATCGAAGGAGGGGCCACTGTAGGCCCCGCCCCTCTTGGATGTAAATGTCACTTTAGTGTCAGGGGTGTAAATCTCCGCAAAAGACGACTCTGCCTAGTTCACCAACACACACACACACACACACAAAACAAACAGAAATTGAGAGCCTGTTTTAATAACAGGGTTTGGTTGAGTCTAAGCTGAGCTGATTTATTCATGTGTTTAGTGGATGGAAAACTGCCCCTACCCCAAGATCAGTTTGAATAACCTGTGTTCATTAATTAGTTTATTGTACAGTTAAATTGATGGACAGCAGAAATCTGTAATTGACTTCAAATTATGTTATTAAAGGCAATCTCACATAATTTTAGTCCATCAATTTCCTTCTAATCCTTTAAGCCGATTTATTGGGTGGAGTCTATGTTCCCGCCTATTGGGTGGAGTCTACGTTAACTTCTAGCTACGTCGCCAAGCGGGTGACCAATTACCGTCAGATTAGTGTACATTCACATTACGCAGCATTTCGGACTTTGAGGAAATACAAACCACACAGAACAGTGGGGGGGGGGGGGGATTCAGACCACACCTCTACAATCCTCAACTCAGACTATGTTTATTAGCTGACTTTGAGATGTATATTTATATACTTTTGACATTTTCCTGACAAGATATTTGGTAGATGTGTAGTGGATACATCCCTCTGTGATATGTTATGGTTACTTTACATTTTCAGATCCTGTTGTTCATCACTTTAATTTGTTCTGCAATCAACACAGCTTTGTCTGCTGACTCTGTGATTGTTTTGTGTCTGCAATTTGCATGTTTTAAGCCTTTTTGAATTGAAACCCTAATTCTGAGTGCATTGATACTTGTGAATCATGCATTTTGTTAGGACACATTTGCATTTGCTTTTATTGGTCTCTTTCTTCTTCTTTTTTAATTTCATTACAGCAGTTGTTGAATAGTTTCAAAGAAAGATACACTGGAGTGTCCCACTTAAAAAAAGGAATGTTACTATGTTGGATATGAAGGTTATAGGAAGCCTCCTAGTCACAGCCAATGTGTTTTTACACTGGAAAACCTCTCTGTAAAATCTCATTGGACTGTCCTTACCTCTGTGAGTAGCCCATCCTGGAGTGCCTGGGTGTGGTCTAGCTCATTCTGTGCGCTGATTGGATACTTCCTGGTCATGGGATGTTTTTTTATACTGTTCCAATCTGAAGGCACAATGAGACCAAACCATTATTGGTCCAAAGGGAACACAAAGAGCTCACGTTTGTGATGACCACAGACAGACTGAAAGACAGACAGACAGGTAATCAGAAAAATGGGTGAGGTAGACAGAGAGACAGACAGGTGAACAGACTGACCCAGGTTACCATCCTGGTAGAAGGAGCATTGTTCTTCTGGCGTCTGTGAAAAACAACAAGTGGGTCGGTTCAAACCATATGAATAGACAGACACACCTGACACCTGTGTGTGTGTGTGGTTGCTATAGTTACCAGAGTGTGGACGTCGCCGACATGGTAATATTGGCTGACAGCAGCGCTGTAGGTGTGAAGCTCGTCCACAAGAAGAGCTGGAAAACTCTCAAGCACTTCTTCCATTTTGCTGTACCACACACTAGAGCTACACACACACAAACAGCCATGTTGGATGTGTTAAGAAGGTTCTACATTACCATAGTTAATATGGGATGATATGTGTGGGGCGGCTTAAAGGCCCCATGAAATAAAAAATACATTTTCCCAGTGTTAATCCTGTGTCCCTGTGTTAATTGTTCATTTATCGTGTTATATGCCAAATACATGTCAAAAAATACATTTCTGAGTATTTTTACAACAAAATCTCTGTCTGTGAAATGGTTTCAAATGTTTGATGACTCATCCTGCCCCTCAGGTGCGTTTACTAATTTTGCGTCCAAATGCTTGAAAAAAATGCTTGAGCTCTATCACAGGGATGAGCCTGCGTTTCTCCTTCACCAGCAGCACTGCCGGTTGGCTCGAACATATAAGGCCGCACTCCAACGACTTTATCATGGTTGTCTTCTTCCTCATTTTCATCCCTGTCCAATCCCTGTCCTGTTCGTCAAAGTATACATTGGCAAAAAACTGCAGGCGTAGGCAAAGGTGTTGGCGAGAAGTCCTCCACAACAGACAGCACGCTGTTGTCATGGCTTTCCATGTTGAGCTGCTAGCTACTGTCAATCTGGCGGCACATTCATCACCATTGGGTACTGTAAATGCCAATCAATATCCGAGAAGTCCCTCCCTAGCTTCGTGTTTTTACCAGAAATACGTAAAACCAAAAAGCACTCTGACTTCTTTTTCACGGGGCCTTGATCTACCTGGAAATGTGCCATTCGTATTCATGTCTGAGAGATTTTGAGGAAACTCACCTGTTGGTGATGTCGTCGAGGTAGACAAGGACTCTCTCCAGGGATGACTTCAGGGCTTCCTCACTGCTCTCCTGGCGCAGTCTGTCCAGTAAAACATCTAAATGAGCCTCCTTTTTCTGGAAAACAAGGCCGACTTAAACTATTATCCTTTAGCAGATGCTTTTATCGAAAGCGACTTAAATTGACCTTTTTTTTAATGAGCAGGTAGGGGTTAGGTAGCATCTTGCTCTCAGATGCCTACAGGTAGACTGCAGACATTGGGGTTCGAACCCAGAACTTTTTGGCTAGGAGTCGAAAACACCCTAACCACAAGGCTATCCTGCCCACATAATTAAGACTAAGGCCCTGTTCGAATTGGTTCACTTGTATCCTCATTCCCTATTCCCTATGTAGTGAACACTATAGTACACTATTTACGTAAAAAGTATAGGGAGAACTTGGACGCTAATTTTGCAGCAGAAGTGTATCAACAAGCCGACGCGTGTTAAATGTCACCCTGTGATAGCTAATTTGCATAAATAACCCATATGTGCCGACCATCACTATTGGATGAATCTGATGACAATGAAAAACTGCTATGCCTCATGGGATATAGTGTGGAAATAAGTGTTCATCAGTTGAACACCTCTTTTACGGTGCTTTATAAAGTAGTGCACTATATAGGGACCCAGATTTGGCCCACTTTACACAACAACGCTCCCGGGTGACACCGACAAAATATTTTATCAGATGTGCCTTTTGTTTAGACGGCGACGGTGTTTTTGGGGCTTAAAAACGCAAAAAAATGAACCCACCCTCCAGAGTGGAAATCTTAAAAACGCTCCACCGTCGCGTTCCCGTCTAAAGGGTTGAAAACGCAAAAGTGTGCTCTGAGCTGCTCACGCTGGCTATCCTCGCGTACGCGTTGACGTCAAATCCATGTGCAGTACAGCCAATGGCATGCATACTACATCAAATTTCACACACTTTTGCGTCACCGTGTGCATGCAGATTTCCACCCAAAGACGCTCGTCTAAACGCGAAATAAAAAGTGGGAACGCAACGACACTTTTGCGGTTTGTGTTCAGATCGTCGTCGTGTAAAAGGGCCCTAAGTAGTGCACCATATAGGGCACAAGTGGCCCAATTCAAACACAGCAACAGTGATTTACAGTCAAATGTTTTATACAGTACTGCCTGTGGAGTGCAGACCTGTATTTCCTCTTCCTGTTGATGTCGAAGGAGGCGGAGCTGCTCCTCAAGCTGTTGCTCTCTGTTCTCCACAGCTTGGCTGTGCATCTCCCATAGCAACGCTGCTCCGCGTAACACATTCCTCACAGTCCTACTCAATATCCCAGCATGCCTTGCCACCATGTCCACATCTCGCTACCAGCACGCAAACAGAGAGAGAGAGAGAGAGAGAGAGAGAGAGAAAGTTGAACAGGCAAGACAAGACTGGAGACTATACAGACAGACAACAGTGAGAGTTGAACAGACAGTAGAGTAGAGATCGAGTATTTGACTGACATCTAAGATAGCCAATCGGTCCTCGGCCTGCCTCTGACATGGCCCAATCAGAGAGAGGATCTGGGAGTTGAGGATGTGTTTGACCTCTTCCTCTGACAGCTCTAGAGTACACAGTGCCTCCTGTAGGAAGAAGCAGGAAAGCAGGAATTATATTGTGGGGAATCGTGGTTCCAAGAGCACTGTAGGTTACAGTAGCATCTAAGGGGGCATACGTACATAGTAATAATAACACGCGGAATACTTGCTAACACTTGCTTCAAAATGACCACCATTCAATTAAGGAAATATGTTTTGTTGCAAGTTATCTTGATTAATTCAGATTAGTTTGCATAATGACGTAATATACCTTGCATCGCTCCACCTCCGCTAGACAGTTCTGCCAGCTCTGTTCAAAGCTGCAATGGAGCTGACGCACAAAGTTATCGTGACAACAATCTGGACGGACACACACACATGCACAGAAATAATGAATTCGCTATGATATGTTATATGCATACCTTTGCTAGGATATGCAACAGTAACAGTAACAGTAACAGTAGATAGTTATTGAAATGGAAATTACCAATCTTTTGATTGAGAGCTGTCAGTTGGTTGTACCAATCAGTGACCAGAGCTGTTGTGCAGGTGGGCGGGGCAAGAGAGCTGTAAAACAGTGGATTATAAACTGTTACCCTGATATACCATTACCTCAGGATACAGAATTATGACACCTGATGTCCTCTGATGAGCAATCACAAAACACATACTATCCTGTGATGACCAATCACATACCACATGTTATCCTGTGATGACCAATCACATAACACATGCTATCCTGTGATGACCAATCACATAACACGTTATCCTATGATGACCAATCACATAACACATGTTATCCTATGATGACCAATCACATAACACATGTTATCCTGTGATGATCAATCACATAACACATAATGCCTGTTGAGCAATACTGGTACCAGATGTGCTGGATGAGGCGTCTCTGTTCTTCAGACAGAGTTTGTCGTGTCGTTCTGATCTCCAGAACTGCTTGCTGGACAGAGGCAGGGTTCTGGACTGATTCACTACTTACCAGTTCCCTGCAACACACACACACACCCACCCACATGCACGCACACGCACACACACATGCACACATACACACACACACACACACACAATATACTGTATATATATATATGGCATTTCTAACAAATTACACTCAAATTATAGGTATTGAATCCTACCTACAGCACCTTTAAGTAATAACGGTCCAACTGAAGAAAGTTACAACTTTAATTTTTCAGTGTGAACTTGACACTTGACCCTTGCTTAAGACTTACGATGGCTGCAGAGTTCTAGTTCTAGTTGGAGCTGAAGAGAGACCACCTTTATTGATTGTCTCTTCGCAAAAGCTCAGTTGTAGCTATTACATATCATTGTGGGTTTTGGGCATATTTATATATTTCAGTCTTTCTATCTTTTTGGTAGACCTAGTGGGAGATTGTGGGGTGAATACATGGTACCCCCGTAACCACCTTTTAGAACATGTAAATGCTGTTTTAGTTTGTCAGGTCCCACTAGTGGGCTACACTATTTTCATTTGAGCTATAATGGGTGGGATGAAGTAACAGTACATATATGCACCAAACAATTTGGCACAGGGCCGTTGGTTTGGAGTTACTTGTCGTCATTTTTCTACCGCACCGAACAAAAATTCAGAACCGTGATACTTAAACCGAGGGATGTACAGTGAGTTCTTCTGTGTGCGGTTACAAAGTACTGCAGCAAGACTTGAGACATACCGGATCCTTTCTACCTCCTGGTCCACTCTGCCAGTCGTCCATGTCTGAGATCTGTCTTGCCAGCGCAAACGAAGGACAGACTCTTTCTGGAGATCCTCCTCCAGAAGGTGAAGACGTAGACGGGCAATGCTACGGCGGTTAGCGAGCAGGGCGTTGTTGATCAACTGTATGACAATCAAACAGGTTGCCGTGAGCTGCTAGCTAGAACTCAGTTTCTCAGGCTAAATGGTTATAATGCATAGGTACCAGTGATATATATATATATATATATATATATATATATATATATATATACACTCACCGGCCACTTTATTAGGTACACCTTGCTAGTACCGGGTTGGACCCCCTTTTGCCTTCAGAACTGCCTTAATCCTTCGTGGCACAGATTCAACAAGGTACTGGAAACATTCCTCAGAGAGTTTGGTCCATATTGACATGAAAGCATCACGCAGTTGCTGCAGATTTGTCGGCTGCACATCCATGATGCGAATCTCCCGTTCCACCACATCCCAAAGGTGCTCTATTGGATTGAGATCTGGTGACTGTGGAGGCCATTTGAGTACAGTGAACTCATTGTCATGTTCAAGAAACGAGTCTGAGATGATTCGCGCTTTATGACATGGCGCGTTATCCTGCTGGAAGTAGCCATCAGAAGATGGGTACACTGTGGTCATAAAGGGATGGACATGGTCAGCAACAATACTCAGGTAGTCTGTGGCTTTGACACGATGCTCAATTGGTACTAATAAGCCCAAAGTGTGCCAGGAAAATATCCCCCACACCATTACACCACCACCACCAGCCTGAACCGTTGATACAAGGCAGGATGGATCCATGCTTTCATGTTGTTGACGCCAAATTCTGACCCTACCATCCGAATGTCGCAGCAGAAATCGAGACTCATCAGACCAGGCAACGTTTTTCCAATCTTCGATTGTCCAATTTTGGTGAGCCTGTGCGAATTGTAGCCTCAGTTTCCTGTTCTTAGCTGACAGGAGTGGCACCCGGTGTGGTCTTCTGCTGCTGTAGCCCATCCGCCTCAAGGTTCGACGTGTTGTGCGTTCAGAGATGCTCTTCTGCATACCTCTGTTGTAATGAGTGGTTATTTGAGTTACAGTTGCCTTTCTATCAGCTCGAACCAGTCTGGCCATTCTCCTCTGACCTCTAGCATCAACAAGGCATTTGCGCCCACAGAACTGCCGCTCACTGGATATTTTCTCTTTTTCGGACCATTCTCTGTAAACCCTAGAGATGGTTGTGCGTGAAAATCCCAGTAGATCAGCAGTCTCTGAAATACTCAGACCAGCCCGTCTGGCACCAACAACCATGCCACGTTCAAAGTCACTTAAATCACCTTTCTTCCCCATTCTGATGCTCGGTTTGAACTGCAGCAGATCGTCCTGACCATGTCTACATGCCTAAATGCATTGAGTTGCTGCCATGTGATTGGCTGATTAGAAATATGCGTTAATGAGCAGTTGGACAGGTGTACCTAATAAAGTGGCCGGTGAGTGTATATATACTGTATATATATATATATATATATATATATATATATATATATATATATATATATATGTCATTACCACAGTGGCAGTGATGTCACTGAGGTTAAAGGTATACACCATAGCCCATAGTCATAGGCCATAGGCAATGTCATTTGATTTCATTTGACGCCATATTGAGAGGACTCAAGAGTTGTAGGCATGGGCGTCACCATAATATAATTGGGAGGGGACACGTCCCCCCCACCCTTGCAAAAAAGTCGTTTGGACCCCCCCACATTTACCATCAAAAATATTAGTGCATGACTGGTCTACTAGTCCAGCGCTCTCTCCATTGCTTCACAATCAAATCCGTTCCACTTTATCAGTAGGGGGAATACCCATATAAATAGAAATCCACTCCGCGTTTTCCTGTTTTTGTTAACACACAAAGCAGCATCACGCACACATTCAAAACACGCACCGAAGCAAGCCTATGTTGTGTCGGATCAACGACAGCGATAGACTTAGGGTTGAACACAGTCACTTC